ATCCCGTGCTGCTCATCGGTCCTCAAAGCCCGGTCAACTTATTCACTCCGACGTGGCATCATATGAGGTGGTTTCTAGGGAAGGTTATAAATACTACATCACTTTGGTCGACGATTGTTCCAAGTTTCTCTATGTCTTCCCTATGAAATTAAAAAGCGACTCCTTTTCATGTTTCGAGATCTTTCGCGCGTTCTTTGAGAAAAGTGGCTCCCACAAAATAATTGCGCTTCAAACCGACAATGGAGGGGAGTATCTATCAAATGAGTTTTCTTCTTACCTTGCCTCCTCTGGGATCAGACATGAGCCAGGTCCACCTCACTCGCCACAGTTAAATGGTGTCGCCGAGAGAACAAACAGAACAATCAATAATCTGGTCCGAGCTTCGCTAATTCAAGCCAACCTACCCAAATCTTTTTGGACGGACGCACTCCGACACTCAATGTTTCCCTTCAACTCGTTTCCATGTCACACTCCCTTGGGTTTCAAATCCCCCTCGTCAATATTGCAGGAACACTCAGTTGACCTCAAATCAATTCATCCCTTTGGCTGTTTGGTCTGGTACAAAATCCCTGAAGCCAACAGTAAATCTCTTGACATCAAAGGACGTGCATCTCTACTTCTCTCGTATCTACCAGATGGAAACGGTTTTCGTCTTTGGGATCTTGAAAAGCGTTCTGTTGTCAAATCTCGCGATGTACTCTTTGAAGACACAACATTCCCCTACGGTGCTCAGCTCAAGCAAACTCCCGAACCAGTCTCAATTGAAATAACCTGGCCTAAACCATCAAATGGCACTCCTACAGACACTCACCATCCTCAAAGTGTAGAGGTACCATCAACTACTCCAGCTATTAACAATGATGCGCCTCTAGATATTCCTCTCGCACCCCGTTTTGACAGGAGACTAGCAGCATCCATCCACGCTCCTCATAATCGTCCTCGGGATCCTCTCCCCATCTCCTCCGACTCAGATTCTGACTCTTCTCACTGTCCTATTCCCATCTCCTCTGACTCAGATCCTGACTCGACTTACAACACGCCCGCTCCGTCTCCATCAACCACATCACCTGATGTTACAGTAATTTCTCTCCCCCCTCTTCCTCCTTCTCCCCCTCCCCCTCCAGTGTCCCCTAGTCTGTCTCCACCTCGGTCCCCCCCGGCCAAAATCCCATCACCAAAACCTTCACCGCCTCCTATTCGACGTCGCTCAAACCGTGATCGGCGTGCCCCGGACCGCTATGGTCAATGGTCCAAGAACGCTTCCACCGACTGTGATGTAGACACCCCAAAAACTTGGCGTCAGCTTCTTAAATCCCCTAACAAACGTTGTTGGCTTAAGGCGGCGGATGAAGAATTTGCCTCTCTTCTTGGAATGCAAACCTGGAAGCTCGTCCCACGTCCGGAAAAGAGGAAGGTTATAAAGTCTAAATGGGTATTCAAGGTGAAACGCCGCCCCGACCGCACTATTCAGAAGTTAAAGGCACGACTTGTAGCTATGGGCTATTCTCAAGTACATGGTCTCGACTACGATGAAGTATTTTCTCCAACGCTCCGACTGGAAACGCTTCGCCTGATACTCAGTCTTCTTGCCTGCCGCAGTTGGACGGGTCGTCAAGTTGACTTCAAAACAGCGTTTCTGAACGGTCACTTGGACAAACCAATCTACATGGAACAACCACCTGGTTTTGAAGATCCTCAACATCCGGATTGGGTCTGTGAGGTTAATCGGTCTCTGTATGGTCTCAAACAATCACCCCGCCAATGGAACATTGAACTAAACAAGGCTCTCCTCGAGCTGGGCCTCTCCAACTCAAAATATGACCCCACTCTATACTTCAAACTCCATAACAACAAGCTAATTGGTGCCCTCACAACTCATGTCGACGATCTTGCAATTGTGGGTGAACACAATTTTGTCAACTCCCTCATCTCTGAAGTCGGTAAACGGTTCAAAATCGGTGCGGACGAGGAGCTCAATCACTTTCTCTCTCTGAAAATAACCAGGAACGCCAAAGATCATCACATTTTCCTGAATCAAGCTCATTACATCTCTGAACTTTCTGCAAGATTTCTCGACAACAATCCCACACCAGTGGCAACTCCGACTGACTCCATTTTCAAGAACCTTGGTCCACGCTCTCAGTCCGACCCTGTGTCATCAGGCCCGTACCCCCAACTCATTGGATCCCTTCTCTGGGTATCTCAATGCACCCGACCTGACATTTCTTTTGCAGTCAACCGCCTGTCCCAATTTCTTCGGGACCCTTCTGAGTCTCACTGGCAAGCTGGTCTTCGGATTCTCAACTACTTGATAACGACTAAGGATCTCAAGCTCCGCCTTGGGGGTAATCTGGTATTATCTGGCTACTCAGACTCTGACTGGGCTGAAGACCGAGATGACAGGAGATCAACATCTGCCTATACCTATCGCATCGGTGATGGAGCTATCTCCTGGAAATCCAGAAAACAAGCCACGGTATCGCTCTCCAGTACAGAAGCGGAATACAAAGCTCTCTCCGACTCTTGCAAAGAAGGTCTCTGGCTTCAACACATCCTCACAGAACTTCGTCTCCGACCAGACAATGCCATCCCACTACATGTCGATAATGAAGGGGCCGAGGCATTAGCAAAAATCCCAGAACACCACGCAAGAACTAAACATATCCACGCCCGCTATCACTTCATCCGAGAATGTGTGCAAGAAGATGACATTTCCCTGATTCATGTCTCAACCAAGGACATGCTGGCCGATATGTTGACCAAACCTCTTCCCCGAGTTGCACTGGAAAGACACCGCGTGCTATTTGGCATTGTTCCTTGAATTTTCTTTTTTTCTTTCTTTTCTCTCTTCCTTTTTCTTTCTCCTTTTTTTTCTCTCTATCACTGTGGTCTCTAATTTTCTTTCTTCTTCTATCTCTCAATCCATGTATGCAGCAAGGGGGGGTGTTGAGCTGATCAGTTTCCTTCTCATCTCGTTTCATTTTTCTCTGCTTTATACATGTCACATGTATTTCACATTCATGTCACACAGTTGTAGTATACCTGAGGCAGCACTCGTGGAAGCTCTTCTTTCCTCATCCTTCCACGAACATCGCACACTCACCAGTATCGTGCTTGCTGTCCTCAGGTATAGTAGTCTTTGTCTTTCTCTCTCTTTTTCTTTCCTTTCTTTCTTTCTCTTATATGCAATGAATTATCCTTCCACGAACATCGCACACTCACCAGTATCGTGCTTGCTGTCCTCAGGCTCTGTCTAGCTCATCACCTTTAATACTCCCTAATCTGGCTCTCAATCATTTCTATGTTATTGTAAGATTCATATATCAAAAAACCATACTTCTTAGCTTGCCTAAGCCTAAATTGAGAATGGGATTCATCCTTCAAAATTTCAGATGGCCCTGTTGGACATTGCATATATCTGCATCAAATTTTGAATTAACAAAAAAAGGGCTCAAATACATGCCCTGTGGTGTGTTGACTTTGCAGAGTGTTTTATAACAATAACATCAAGGGATAGAAATAGCCATTGATGAGATGACTGAGATGGAATCATCATCCATCTCAGTCATGAAAAGCAGATGATGACCTGTTTTTTTTTTTTTTGCCTGATTGAGTGCTGGTGGAAAATAGCTAAAAACTTGACTGAGTATGTAACCCTTGAAGATTCCAGAAACAATTGATCAACCCAGACCAATGTGACAGCATGTTAAAGCATACCTTCCTGACCTGTGTCCATATGAAGTGGCTCTTCCAATTTGGAGACATCTGAGCTTGCATGTCTTGCAAGCTCCACATGCCTTTTCCAGAAGCCACTCCATCACTTCCAGACACATCTTGAAGCAGTTTACAAATCTGACTAGTCTGAAGTCAAATTGATTGAGGCTTAACCACTCTAGATTTCTTCCAGAAACAGGGGGGGGGGGCATATAGAAGACACCACTTGCCCACTCAAAAAGCCAATGAATTTGAAAGTAAACCATTCTTGTTCTCAGGGTGAATTTGATCATGTGGTCTGGGAGAAAAGAGCAAGGGCTACACATGATCATCTGTCCAAGGTCTCTACTATTGCCTATTCATGATAAATATTATAATGGCCACTCAGAATAATAACAGGAAAAAAGATTCTACACAAACCAGTAAATCAAACCCAGAGTCTTCTTCTGCAAACAAGGTGAATCACAGCAAACAAGTGACCATGTTTGTTTTGTTTTATTTTGACTTACAAGATCATACTATCAAATTTATGTTGTCTCTCTTTAAACAGATCATTGATTTGATTTTGATTATGTGTGCCATTGTTGATGAATAGAAAAAGAACAAAAATTTGAGATGCCAAGATGGGATAGGACAGCAAGATACTTTTTTTAAGATGAGGGTCTTAATATTACGTATGTCAACAGTATCTTCCTCGCTGTTGTTCGTGTCTTGTTTTTCTTTTCTCTACAATTGTTAGTATTTGTATATGTGTATGAGTGTGTATAAGAAGGAGAATGAGGAGATGGAAACAAAAGCATGATACACTTTCTTATGGGGATCAACTAGTGGAAGAGCAAACCCAACATAAAGAGAGACAGGCAGAAGGAAAGGAGCAAACGATGTAGCAGTACCAACAGGGTATTTTCTTATATGTTCTATAATAATATAAGATATATATATATATATGGGTTGTATATACATATCTGGATATCAATCGTTTCTGTTTATAGATATATTATGTATTCAGTCAAAAGAGAAAGAAAGAAACATTCAGTGAAAGATAAGGATAAGAATAACAAAATTAAAGATGTAGTCACACAAGAGAGCGAGAGAGAGAGAGAGAGCGATCGGGAATGGGAGGAATTAAGAAATGGTAAAAAAACATCAAGAGGGTTCCAATTGAAAGAAAAGAGGAAGAAAAAAGCAACAGAAAAAGATGAATATATCTTTATTTATCAGTAACAAAATGAATTATTGTTAAGAGATTAGAATTAAAAGAAAGGAGAGGTGTAAGGAGTCAATAATCAATCGACGTATAAGACCAATCGACTACCCGAATTGATCCACCGATCAAGGTCGCCATCGTTATCGATTCCGATGAGTCTAGCGCCGTTATTAGCGTTAATAGGGACGGATCCGCCGGTGGAATAAGCGACGCCAGACTCGTCCCGGAATCGAATCGATCTGACCTCAGCTCCCACGCGTTCCTGGATGCGTTGAAGGAGTTCAAGGAATTGGACGCCCGTGGGTGCGCGGATCGCGATCAGATCGTCCGTCTGACGCTGGTAGATCTTGATCCGTAGAAAACCCGTGCTCGGGTTATTGTGGTTCGCCGAACCGGGGTGCTCACCCGGCCCAGCGGGGGTCAGTGAGGTAACCCGGGAGCCGACGGGCACTGAGGAGGTCGAGGTGTGGGTCGAGGGTAGATGGGAGGAGAAACCCTCAGAGCTCGTCGTCGAGCTCGAGAAAGGCCGCAGATCCTGTGAGCGTTGCCCGCGCTGATGGTAGCCCGCTGGACCGGTCGAGCCCTTGCTCATCCGTGACGGATGATGGCTCGGCTGAGAAGCCTGCGATGATTGTCGACGGTGGTGCTGGTACTGATGATGCGCTTCAAGCGGGCCATTCGAGCCCGTCGAGAGACGCGAGATCGATTCGTTCAGATCTGCCAGGCGTCCATCCTCTCCGCGCGATGAATCCATTCGCTGTAGATACTCCACCACTTCTCCTTCTACCTCAGTCGGTGAGCGATCATCCAACCCCAAATTTCCTGGGTCTCCTTCCAGTTCCACATCGCCCTCCCGAGGACCCAAGAACTCGTAGACCAGCTCAGACTCCCGAATATAGAGCGGTAACTCGCATAATTCGTGGAGGTAGGTCGACAGATCTTCGACCCTCTGCGCACAAACCAGTTCGTCCACGTTATCGCTCGGCCCGGGCATCCGGGGTAGATTGGGTGCGCCATCTTCGTCCTCTGCTTGGTCTGGGAAGGTTTCGATGAGTGCGGTCTGGAAGTCATAGAAATCTTCGTAGAGACGGTAGAGTACCAGGACGGTTGTCTGCTCATCCCGACCGTCTTCTGAGATCCGACTGAAGTGTGCCCGGAGGTGGAACCAGTAATGGCCTTGTTCGAAGTGGAATGACTCAACACTCGCATGTACAACAACCCCATATCGTTCTCTAAGCTCATCGACTGTCGCATAACCATCTCCCTCGGGACCTGATTGTGGTGGATATGGTTCGTCTTGGTAATCTCGGCCCTGCTGAGTCGGCGACTGTCGAGAGTTCGAATAGGAATTTGTGGGGGCGTTCCAGGGCGTGTTGGCTGAGGACTGTCTTGAGTGGTCGTATGCTGATGGATCGCCGCCGGCACCATGCCATGAGCCATGCTGTGGGCCTCGGCCAGACGGAGGACGATCATAGCCGGCGCCAGAGGGTTGTCTCGTATGCGATGTGGATGCCGAGCGGGACGAGGTAGGGTGATTGAATGAGCCGCCGTTGGTTGCTGAGGGCATCGGCGGGGATGTGGCTGCAAAGTCGAATTTGCCGAGTGGGATACTGTTACCCTTGTAGGCCGCAGTTGCCTTTTTCCATTCTTCTACGGCAGGGACGACTGAGCTCCTGATCAAGTCTTGTACTTGGTTGGGTGCTAGTGCTTTTCCGGTGTTAACATCTTGAACTTCAACAAATGAGACGGGTATCAAGCCGGCTGAAAAGAACAATCAATGTCATACAAAGAATAATTCAGTGCCGAGTCATGTAGAAGGGGATTCTGGTGAGAGAGACTTACGGCCACCAAGTCGGCCGATTGGTTTAGCCACAAACCATTCATGGTTGCTCTGTGCAATCACAATGATCGGCTCGCCCCTCTTGGCATCAAGTTCATCAGGTCTTTCGGCGACAAAATCATGCTGGACCTGTGAGAGGAGAAGAAAAAGCCTCATTTCAGCTCAGATATGCTAAATTTCTTCAGAAAGATAGAGAAAGGGATCGTACGATTCCGTATAGTGGTTGAGTTTTCGAGTTTGGATGACTTTGTCTGAAGGGTTCGGCGGATAAGGGTGTTCGAACGAGTAAAGGTGAGCCAGGTGGGTTATTGGCAGAGGATTGATAACCGGGTGCAGAGCTTCTAGGAGGGAAGGCGGTAGCTGTGGGTGTGGTACTAGGTAGTTCGTTCTGTTTCCTTCCGAATAATTCGAAGCAATCTTTGGGTACGATCCCGCGCGCGCCTGTGGCTGGGTTGGATGCTTCGAACCAGCTACCCTCGTGATCATCTCGTTCGCCGACTACATGGAAGAAGTCGCCCTTTTGGAATGAGAGTTCGACTATCCGGTTCGATTTGTAGGCGGTGATTGCCTTGATGACCAATGTTGGTGGTTTTCCGATTGACCTCGGATTAGTTAGGTTATGATTTCCAGCTGCGAGCGAGGCAAATGGTTGAGTGGGTTGTTGTTGTTGCTGCTGCTGTTGTTGTTGTTGTTGTTGCTGTTGTTGTTTTGAGTTGTGTTTGGCTGAGAGTGGTGGTAGATGGTGTGAGTTGAAGTCTGGTTTGGTTGGTGATGAGGTCGATGTTCTGTCCTTCTCTTTATGGAGTGAACGACGGAGTACTTTCATGACCGATTGATTGATTGATTGATTGGTTGGTTGGTTGTCTTCCTGCCCCCCTCCTAGTATTATGTATGTGTTCGTGGTGTGGTGTTTGTTGTTGGTTGTTGGTTGTGGGCTGTGATAGGCTGTGCTGCTGTGATGGTTCTTGGTTGTTGGTTGGTTGCCGGTCGAAAGTACTTTTCGTCTGAAATTGGGAAGAAATGTATCAGCAATCCAGTTAAAGCCATAGATCTACCTCAGATTACATAATACAAACAAACACATCTGCGCCTGAATGAGTCGATAAGTTTCTAGCCCATAAACCCATACTCCCCACTCAATTCACGCATACACGGCCCGCGAAAACCACTTTGTCTTATCAATTGCGAGGTCATTGATGGAGTGGACTTGAGTGGATTATGTTGTACTGCCTTTGTTTCCGTCTTGGAGTCCCTTTGATGACGATTGGAGTCCCTTTCATGACGATCTCCATACATCAGCATACATCCATGACAAAAACCAATCTTCAAACAACAAAAACTTGACAAAACCGGTCGTAGTACATTATAGTCATCGACCAGACAGGCAAGTATCATCTCCTACTCTCACACCACAATCCGGGCCGGGAGTGAGGAAGATAAAACATCTGCTTCGGGAACCCGAAACCCGGATGGGACATAACCATGAGATTGGATACCAACCATATTCGGATTCAGGTAACCCTCACTCCAGTGAGAGGCACATCAAGGCCAGTTTACTGATCCAGAATCCACAGGAGCCCGGCAAGGGAGCTGATGGACTACTAGAGATCAGTGACTCATCTTGAATGTTTCTCAAAAATTATTGGGTACCATCCCCTTTCAGGAAGCTTGAATATCACTCACAAAAAAATGCCAAATACATGTAACTCCACACCCCACACATTGGTTTGATGGATGATTCAAAAGGAAGAGTATAAGAATTTCTAAAATCAAAGATGATGTACCTCCTTATATGTACCTTCAAAATCATTCTCAGACAATGATTGATAATTTACATCATCAAGATTGGTCTTACAAGTGTCCTGGACTGGGAAAGAGAAGTCCATTTGTTTTTGATTTGAATTAAGGCATCTGGATATTGAATCCAGACCATCCCAAACAAACTCAGGAGAAGAAAGATATGGAAAAATTGTCAGACTTATCCAACTGATTTTTGCAGGAATATTCAAATCTATTCATCATCTTCAATCTCCTATTGACCAAGATATGAGAAACACTAGGGAGTTTTTGTTTGGCTTGTGTCAGAGTAACAAGTAATGGTGTATTCAAAGTTATATAAAGTGCTTAATGAAATTAATTTGAGGAAAACTCTGTGATCCTGCACACCTCTACATACTGAAAGTAGGCAGCAGTTGTGAAAGGAAAACTTCCCTTATCCTTCCACAAGCTTTCTCTTCTTCTATCAAATATGCACTCATCATTTCTCTCTCTCTTTTCAATTTTACTTTTTTTTTGCATTTTCTTCCTCACTTTTTCCCCTTGCTATCAAGTTCTTATCTCAGTCTCTTTTTGCCCTATTTTTGACACAATGTGAAATCCTTTGAAAAACCATCCCTGCTTTCATCAATCATTCTCTCTCTTCTGCTTCCATCAACACATTGAACTAGAAAGGAAAAAAAAATGCATTATTGATGGTTTTGGTCAATTTTATGAGATCTCAATGATTTGATTGATGAGGTGAAATGGGACAGTGAATGAGATGGTGGAAGGATATGGTTAGCATTTCCTTTACTAATGATAATCAGAACAACAAAGGGGACAAAGAACAGATGAAGAGAAAAACTTACCTGGGGCAGTGAATGAGATAGTGGAAGTATAAAGAAAAAGAACCCTTAGACAATCTCACTCCTGACCCAGGTATACTACATGTACTGCAAGAGATGTGTAGCATAAAGAATGAGACAGGACAAGATGGAATGATAAATCATCATTGATTTGGGTTTTGTGACAGTGTGTATATTTAAAAAAAATCAATCACAGGGGTAATCAACCTGTTTCTTAAAATAATTTTTTACTCATATTAATTTCTTTCAATTTGTGCAGAAATCAAAAAATTTTGTTTAGGTTGTTTCAAGAAGAAGGGACAAAGATTCAGGTCCACTTCCTTGGAATTTTTTATTTTTTCCCCCAGTTTTTTTAGTGTTTATTTAATTTTTGTTTTGTTATGATGAGTTCCAATTCACTTCATTTTCTTTTAGCCGGTTGTAATTAATTTTTTAGTCACAATTGAACAACTTCTATTTATCTAAGAAAAACCCCATGGAAATTGGATGGCTTCCTATCCTGAACGCCCAGAATTAAAATTGAGCTGCAAATGCAAGGGGGGGGGTTGGAAAGCTAAAAATGTAGCATGTTGAATAAAATCTTGGTTCATATCCAAGTTTTAGGGTGACACTGCATGTAATCCTATATTTTAGTGGTAATGGGCTGTCTTAAAAATGGTTAGTCATGGCCTGGCCTGCATCCAGGGTGTGTGTTCAATCCTTTCTTGATAAATTATTGCAGCTCAGGGCATGCCAGACTTCCATCTGATGGATGGTTTGGCCCAACCATCTGGTTACGGGAAATTCAAAGTGCATTCAGTGGTTGCACCTTGAAGGGCCAAAGCCTAATGTCATTTGATACCTCTGTTTGGGTTTCCAAATTCCATCTGGCACAACCCATGGTGTAGCTGATTCCATGGGGGCTGTGAAACTTATAATCAATACCATCCCAACCAATACTGCATCTTTGACAGAAGTCATGCACTTCATTTCCTGGAATTTATTTTATGCTTGTTTTGCTTGGTGTTGAAGTCTGAGCACCACTGTGCTTGGTCATTTGTCCTTCTACTCTCATCATTTATAACCCATAACACTTGAACCTATGATTTCATTAATCTATTGAGGACATCATCAAGTGCAATCCCCTTATCCTTTCATTTCCAACATCTTTTTTTATCCATGCAGCTCTCACATATATAAACAAGCTCCTTCTGTCATATTCTATCTCCTTCTTTTGGGGAACTTTCCAGGTTGTCATACTCAGCCCCATCATCACCAAGCCTCTTATCATTTATTCTACATTGTCTTTCTTTCCTGAATCTGACATAACTTGCCACAATCACCCCCTTTCTTCAAAAACTTGACTCCTACAAATATTTCTTGTCTCAAGAAATTATCCAAACACATTCCAGCACATCCCCTTCCATTCAACTTATTGCCAACCTGACCATGTGCTTTCCTTCTTTCTGATCACTTGTACTCAGATTTGTGGTTGATTCCCACCATAGGGTATCACAACTGAACATTTCCCTTTTCTTTTTCATGATTGTTAATCAGGATATTAAAATACCATATCTTTTTCCTCGGTATCATTTCTCTTGCCCTATTTCATTCTATTTATCATTGTATTCTGCATTGCACTCTTGTTGTTTGAATTAAGTTTAGACAGATTTATTTATTCTTTTGTTATTCTTGTATTTCTCTATCTTTAGTATACTCATAAAATAAATACACTTGAGGTTTTTTATTCAACACTTAGCTATTGAACACTGGTTCACTGATATTGACCAAATGATTTTAATGAGGCTTCTTACTCAACAAAAAATGGCTGAAGTGTCAAGCCAAAGTAACTTCTTTTGCATTATAAGTGCTTCCAGAGCTTGCCATGTTCTCCGATTTAATTCTAATGGCTCATTCGGTGAATTCTGTTTCAAAAACAATCTCCAAAGGGACCCAAACTAGAGAGAAAAACATCCCTATGTAAGCAACCCTGGATGAGGGGGTTACGCCAGAAAGTGAGTAAGCTAGACACCATGAATGGTTTGCTGGGTTAATAAGGGCAAAATACACCCCCTTTATAGGAATTGCTCGGATTGTGTTTGTGAGCCTTGCTTGTTATGCGGTGCTTTTCAATCCCCAAATTATCGTCATGTGGATCGATCAGAACCTAAGGAATAAATCAATCAATCAATTCATGGCAAGGCATCCATGGACTGGCAATCCAAAGAGTCCTGTCAGATTGCTATGTGCTCAACCTAGACCTGGATAACTTACACAATAATTTTATGGGGATGATTACAATGTTACATTTTTCTAAAGCGTTCCGGGGCATGGATGATGGGCCGGAGCGGAGCGGGTTATGTGTCCTCGGTCGGACCAGAGCACAGCGGAAACATGTTGATCGGGTATTTAAATATGTACAGTTCGATTACACCAGGACCCCGGCAAGCCCTAGGATAGGGGGGTGTTGAAAAAGTCTGAATTTTGGCAAAATTCATACCCGGGGGCCCCGCGGGGAGTCACTTTTTTTGGAAAATTCATACCTTTTCAAGAGTATGCTTCGGCTAAAATCCCCTAAAAAAGGGCAGCCCCCGGTAAAATGTCCGATCTGGGGCCAAATACCAAGATTTTATTGGTTTAAACCAGGCTCACATACCTAATATGGCCTCTTTCATGAGTACCATTTCGACAAAAATCACAAATTCATACCCATTTCAAGAGTATGATTTTGGCTTTTTTGCCATTTTCACATACCTTTTTCAACACCCCCCTATTAGGGGGCTTTCCGGGGTCCTATTACACCCCGCAAAGCCCCGGGCCCGCCACCTGAATAGTTGAGCAGACTTCTTCCCAAACTCCGATCGATAACGAATTCTCCGATAACTTTCTCAACATCCACCACACCGATTTTCAGCAGACTCTCAGCCAAATACATAAGTATTATAAACACCAAAAACCTGCACGCGTAAGTAGAGCAATGTCGGAGGCTATTGCTCAAAAGGTCGAGGACCTCATCACGAACAAGTACGCAACCATACCACTGTTATTTTCACTTTTTTGCCTTGTAAAACTTAGGGGTCACTTGGTTGATTGGTCATCCTATCCCTTTTTTTCTCGATGGTCTTTTTTGTTCTAGCTTGGTCGTCGTTTTTTGTGAGTCCGAGATTCCCCTTTGATGGACCAGACCAACCCCAGTTTGATTTTATCTTCTGGCGGAAGATCGACTGTATCTTTGTCTATGTCCTCATCGGAGCTTTGCGTCCAAAGAAACAGCACACTGACTAACCCGCTTCCCACATTCGAACTTGGCAACTCCGATGAACAAAACAACCTGGGCGACGGCCAACACAGCGAAGAGTTATTGTCCATACTGCACGAAGGCGGTGACGACGTTAAAGAAGACGGGGCGGGAGCCGGTGGTCGTGGAGCTTGACGAGGTGGCGGAGGGCGAGGCGCAGCACGAGTATCTCAAGAACAAGACCGGCCAACGCACCGTCCCGGCAATCTTCATCAAGGCCCACTTCGTCGGCGGCAACTCCGAGCTTCAAGCTCTCCATGAGAAGAAACAGTTGGACGCTTTGTTCGACTGATCCGTCCTTCAACCTCCTCACTTCCAATCCTTCTTCTCATGGCTTCCCTTCTTTCTTTCTTTTCTTCGTTCATCTTTCATCCTGCCTCAAAAAGTAAAACTCTTCGATCAGTCTTCGATGACCTATCTCTGCTCGTTTGTTTTATGGCCGGATCGTGTGTCTCTATAAGTCCTGTATCTGAATACTCCATGATTGAGATGAACAAATGAAGTGCATATGGTGTCTCAACCTTCCTTGTTACAATGATTGGGACCTGGATCTGATTCCGTTTACCGACTTGTTTATGTATTTCCATCTATCTTCACATCTGAGCAAAGTTCAAGAGACACAGTAAAAGAAGTCCGATGTAAAACCACAGCACAGAGATCAAAGCTTAGGATATGATACAAACAGGCCAAAGCTGACAAGTCCACCCTTTACTCGAGGGTATACATGTCTAATGAAAAAAGCAGTCACAAATTGACGTTCCCGAACCATCATGATGATACGGGAGCATAGAGAGAGTCAAGACGATCTATCAGTTTTTTTGTGAAAGACAAACGAAAGACCTCTTCGTTATACTATATATTGACTTCAGATAGGAGGACATCGAGACATACGATGGAGGATCACGAGCACTGAAAAAAAAAAAGAACTGAACCATAAAGAGAAAAAAGAAAACCATGACGAAACTAACAAACTAAACATGGACGTGTGAGAGGAAACATGAAGGGACAAAAAAAGGAGATCAGGAAGGGATTCAGATTGATAGAGTACATACAAACAACGCGTGTTTTCTTTTCTTTTTTTTTGGTTTGTCAGTCAGTATTGTTGGATCTAAAAAATCATAAAGATGTGCTATGTTTTTTTTTCTTTGTAGGTCTAGATAGAGAAACGAGAAATCAGATTTCAGAGTAGTACTTGAAAGTTAACAACAACATATAAGTATAATGAAACATGATGGGTGAATCATCAACGGAATTAAAAACAACAACAACAGCACATAATAATAGAAGTGATTCTTGGGTTTCACGCAAAGCTGGACATTACATCTACCAGAGTTGCAGATTTAGATTTTTTGGTTTATTTGAATGTTGTATATCTGGATGTATGAAATCTAGATGGACTTGATCCTTCGATTGGTTTTTTCAAATTGATAACAGCCGGTTTTTGTTCTTTCGAACCCAAGATGGGGTTTTTGTGAGATAAGCAATGAGGGAAAAAACGGAAGAAAGCAACCTAGGAAAGTGTCCTAATGATGATCATAGAGGCATGAGAAGGTGAAGTGAGCTTGAGCCTTTTAACAGTTGACCAAAGCTTCATCGGCCTTCTTGAGGTCGCCCTCGCTCAACAACCTCTCTTTGCCAGCGGCCGCCGTACTTGCTTGACTGCCCGGCCCATTGAGCGGATTGCCATTGGCGCCTGGTGTACTTTGACCAGACGGACCGCCGACCGAGCCAGTCCTGCGCTTCATCACCAAGGGGAATGGGTAGCTATCTTCGTCACGGTTGCCACTCGACGTAGAATCCCAACGCGCATTTCCCATGTAGTCTGACGTCCCAAGCCCCTCCAGATCCTAATCATTGGGAGTAGAAACGTTGTCTAATAAGCTCACGTTTTTTTCCCTCCTTTCATTTCTCTTTATCGATCAACAGAAACTCTCAGACATACCTCAGTAAGCGTGCCAATGTCACCAGGAGTCATGGCTCCTGATCTATACCTTGGACTCCCAGGGGCGCTGAAGGGCGCACCAATCTTAGCCGAACTTGATTCGAACTCACTATCTTCGGCAGTAAAGCTGTCTGGATACGCTCTTCTGAGCGCCAGCTGTCGAGCCTTAGAATACTCCAATCCGAGCGACTTCCAGTCCAAGAGATCCGAGAGTCTTTCGGTCCGGTTACGTTGGTTGATCCTTTGTCGGCGAGTCTTGGTGCAGAATTCTAACATCTGATCAGTCAGTTGATTCACTGAGTCCTCCACTGACTTCATCCGTCGATCGACAATATAAATCCCGTATTCATGGGGGTTTTCTATCAACTCGTCCATGAAACAACCAAAACCTAGATAGAAAAGAAAAAGTCAGTTTCTTGTTTGTTTTAATAATGGCAATGCAAAGAAGCCGCTCACCAGACAAGTTTGTTGTTATGCTGGGTACTCCCATGACAGTACATTCGGCTGGAGTGTACTGTTGAAGAAAAGGTTGGCAACAAAGTGTTAGATGAGGTTTGACTCACCGAAAGAGAATAGAAAAACGCAAATAGTGAGTACTGACCCCCCAAGGTTCATAGTATGATGGGAATACACCCAAGTGACATCCCCGCACAAATTCCTCGTAATCCAAGCCGAGGATGGGATTATTAGAGTTCAAGAACTCTGGATGGAAGATGACTTTCACGCGATCGTGACTACCATTGAAGAGTTGAACGCGACGGATTTGATTGAGGATAGGGTCTGCACTATCATCGGCCATGTTGTGAGTGACAACCGGTGGAAGGGAGTTCCGCTTGAGAGCAAAGACTCGACGTTTCAACAAGATCTTGTCTTCGGAAGAGAGTAGAGTCGATGGGTCGGGCACTTCCGTCCCAATCTCGCCAGTGTACCGTGCCGTCATTTCGAACAATCTGTTGCCGATTCGGTTTTGGATTTCAGTCACTGTGTCTCGGAGTTGCTTGGTAACCGCTTGGCCTTTGAGAGCCTCAATTGTGTAGGAATGAGTCGCTGCTGGCATAATGATAAACGCCACGACTGTGATTTTGGACTTCATCGTCTTGAGTTTATGGTTGAGACCTGTTTAATCCAATTCATACGTTACAAAATGACACGACCCGGAACAATGAATAGTGAAAAACGTTACTTACGAGCAAGAGATTCGATAAACATATCCACTCCTTTGTTACGGTACTCGTACCGCCCGGCCGTAAAGAAGTAAAGTGTATTATCCAAGTCGAAATCATAATGGCCATAGAAGTGTCCGCGCACGAAATCATGAATCTTTTGCTTCGAGATAGCATGAATGTTTTGGAATTCGTGCATTGCTGAAAACTTGACTACATTCAATCCATTGGGCAGCACTCCATCTGGAAATCCGCAATAAAAATCATATCAGTCCGGTGGCATCAAACTGATGGAAACCAAGTTAATTCATATACTTACCAGGCTTCCTCTTGAGCAAATGTTCACTTTCGTATGCAGTGATATGAGAAACCGTCGTAAAGACATCCGCACAATGTGTTGAGGCGCGCTCGACACAGTATCTGTGATAGATTCCTCTTTTACCGGCTTCGTGATCCACGTCAAAATACTGAAGATTGTTATAGAAATCCACGGATCCAGCACAGAGGTAACGGCCTAGAAGGGTGGCGTGAGTCGTAAAAATCGTGGTGATGTCGATTTGACGCTTGCGGCAAAGAGGGATGGCGAGCCCAGCAAGCCACTCATGGAAGTGTCCGATGATCGCCTTGGAAGTTTCCCGGGAGGCGAACTGGAGCCATGATCGAAGCGGGACAAATTTAAAAATAAGTCAGGTTATTCAAATACATAGGAATCTATGATAAAAATCAATAAATAAGGCACGTACTTCACCCAAAAACCACGCTACCAAGTAGCCGAAGACGATTGTGTCGTTAGTTTCACTGTCGTTTGGGGGCGCCGGGATCCCGGCGAGGTTCCACAAGTCGGTCTTCCATTCATCTAGCCGAGACATCATGGAGCCGGTGTCGAAGAGTAAGACTCTGGGGCCGCCCTCGATCAACCAACGTCCGTAGAGATACTTGACCCCACGCTCCTTCATCGACTGGAGCGAGTCTCTCATCTCGGGCGTGTCAGGCTCGATAGCCTCTACTTCCATCGGAGCCGATTTATAAGCCAGCGGGCCCAAGAGGCAATATCGGTCACCATACTCATGGCAGGTCACTGGTGCCTTGGTCTTGATGACAGTGTAGATCCCTCCGACTGTGAACAAAAGAGAAATCAATGCTGGTCAACAAAACCTATCCTGCTGATTTTTCGTAACAGCTATGAAGCTCCTTGCAGATTGTTTAGTTTCATGGTAGAGGGGAGGTGGTGACAGGGAGTGTTATACGATGTGATCAGAAGATGTGTTGAGAACTCGTTATGACGTCACTGTGATCGACAAGAGTTCAAGATGCCCTGGAGTTCTGCACCCCAGGAAAGGGGGTAGAATGTACGTAGTCGATCGATTCGGGGGGGATGCAAGGGGTAAGAACGCCATACAAGGGCAGTTGCTAGTGCGGGATGATTGATTGTATGGGGAAACCCATAAGATGAAGCCATATATATCGTGGGTGTTTCCGAGTATCTGATGGCGTAGGGATGGATTGGAGGAAGAGGACTTGCTAACCTTTGTTGGCGACCTGATTACGAGCAGGATGTACAGCAGAAGAGGATATGGATGGGTGAGTTTGAGTGGATGAGCTGATGACAGATATACAGAGTTGAAGAAAGATCACTGACTTCCCATGCAACCTCAAAGAGAAGATGGTTATGAACATCCCTGACTGGGGCGGACATGATCGAGGGGAGATGGATGTGGCGATAGTCTGACGCTGAGGCAGGTCAGGAAGAAGAACAGTAAAGGGAAGTTGACAATCGATTGGATGTGTGTAAATTGAAGGATGTTGTGAGCTACAGTGTCGGATTATTCTTTCGGATTGTTTAAGCGAAATGGGGATCGATTTGAGCCTGACTATCGGCTTCTTATTTTTTGCAGGCAATCCAAGGAAATCGAGCAGTGCAGTACTTTGAGTTAGTGAGGATGACTTTCCAATTAGCTTATCTAATTGGGGGAAGGACACCGACAGCTAGTTAATACTCACTCTCAGTCCGTCTTCGTCTGTCCTACTCTCTACCCCACAAGAAATTTATAACACTGACTTTTCGGATACTCAAACTCAGGAAAACGAAAACAGACACTTATTGACCGAACTAAATATGTACCGTCACATTGGCCTGTTGGAGACAGCCAGCCCTGAGCCCAGCTTGAAGTGACAGACATCGGAAACCGAATCCAAAGAACAAGGATTAAGACATCCATTATTCAGCTAATTCCCCGCCAGCTTCTCCGATGCAGCGATCACTTGTTTGGCTTCATCTCCAGCCATCATCGCTTCAACCCAGACAGACAGCACTTGTTCATCACTGGGATCTTGTGTCTTGCCAAAAATCGCATTCCCCCGTGTGCACGCCAAGAAGTGTGCACATTTCCTGAAGGTTCATGAACCAAGATTGGGGAGAAAAGATCATTGACGTCATACATAGCGCTCTGATTCGAGTGGTGGGGGCTTACGTCAGCTGCGCCACAAGGCCTCATGACGTATGTAGAGCTCCGAGATCCGATGTTCCTCACATCCCGTGACGAAGACGACGGATATCTGATTCTGACCCAGAGCTCACAAGCAGAGCAACAATATTGGTGTATAGGGCCCTTCAACACCTCGACCATCTTGAGCCTTAACAGGTTTACGGAAGGTCAACATACTTCGCACACGTTATACCAAAGCCATTGGTAGCACAGTCTCCTTCCAGAGGGAGGTCTGAAATCCCGGACCAGCCGTCTGGCTGAAGGTAGAGGTAGCAGTACGGTATATATAAGACATCTGTAAAAAGCTTGACGTAAGAGTACCCTCTCTCTCAAACCATCTCACTATCGACCCGTGGAGTGCCGAGCTTCGAGTCATGTGTGCTGGTCTTTATTATACCGTCTCGGGAATTGTAATGTAAGGCTATCTGTTTATAAGCGTGCAGACTCGTCTGGATGGGAGCACACTGCACACGTCATGACATAAAAGTCTTGACAAAGGCACCTGTAAATATCGGTGATGATGTATACAGAAGTCATCAGCTTCTCTGCCGCTTTCTCCAATCACACCAATTCCTCGCCATCACTGGACTTTGTCTTTCGTGCCAAAGGAAGGAGGTCCCGGACTTGGTTTGACACCCAATCAGGAAGCATCAGTTTTGCGGCTAGATCATACATGCTATATGAGATACACAATTCCTAGCTGTCCTTTTGCGGTCTATATAAGATGAAAGCAAATCTTACTCTTGCAGTTGTTTCCTTTTTCAACACTTTGATAAGTGTTGAGCTAGAAGCTTTGTGGCTCGATCATCTAGTTGTGCTCGAAAGGGAATCACCGGATGAACCCTTCTTCCATCCCGGCCATCAAAAAGCGCACACGGTAGGAAAGAATGATTTCTATACCAGGATTCAAGTGGATCCAGACGGACAAATCTGGGCAAACAATCCGTTCCCCTTTGGGTGCTGGTATAAGATCACTCAAGACTCTCAACCAACCTGGATGAAACATCAAATGACACAGTTTGCAACTGATTATTTTAGAAAAAGTAAACCACTGGGGAGATTTCTAACAAGATTGAATCAAACAACTGGTCTTAAAACTTCAATAAGAATGTCTTACTACTTGAATCAAGAACAAGTTAGAAAGCTTGATCAATTAGAAGTGGGTCCCTCAGAAAGCGCATTTGTAAGGCCAAAGCTTCAGAGATCATGTCCAGACCCCACAGCTTCTTTCACCCAGATTGAGACCAAGTGTAAGTGGATGATGAGACTTGAGATGCCAGCTTTATTGGCTAACCTGTATTTCCACTCCTCCTCTGATCACATTCCAGATGATTGATTGCAGCAGGTCCAGAAGGAGATACCACATTCATTCAGAAATGAGCACCCTGAGACACATGTTCATACACAAACATGTCAACAATAACCATCTGTAAGAATGTACCAATCATCTAGAAATTGACCTTTACATAAAGAACTTGTCTTTGAAACACTTTTACATGCACTTCTTCTTACCATTTTTGCATGCAACTCAAAAGCTTGTTTCACAGCTTCTTGTGCTCTACCCGGGTCCCAATCCATCAATTTTTCCTTCTTTTCTTATTCTCCCTGGTCTCTGCTTGTTCTCACCAGAATCCACTGGGATGTCATGTATTACTATCATTCCATGACTTCCAAAGAATTTTCTTTTTTCATATTGCAAATGAAGCAAACAAATCAGAATCATGATTGGTAATTGTAGGCAAGAAAATTCTTAACAAGCCTCATCAAAATAAGAATCTTTTACTGTTGATTTTGATGATCAATATGTATTACAGAACTATGTTATGAGTGGGAAATTACAATAGGGGTAGAGAACCAGGAAACAAGCAATGGTCATTTGACTATAGGTGACATCAGGTCAGGTTCCATCTGGCAATTATCCTGTTCAAATTAATGCTTTCTGAAAATCACCCTAAGATGGATATAATTGATGATGAGAATCAAGGTATTTGACTTGAAGACAATGAGAGACAAGAAGCCATCAGATCTGTTACAGGGGTGTTGCAGGAAAGGAAGAACCAATGTAGCCTAATTTCTGGTAAGCAGTGCATTTGAACTAATTTATACCCCAGCATGATGTAGAATGCTTCCACTGCCAGATTGTAGTCCTAATAAAACAGAACAATAACAAAGGGAAAAAAATAAAGATGATATCACACATCAAAAAACAGAACATCATTGAACTTGTACAAGAGGATAAGAGGGAATGGTGTAGAGCAAATAAGGTCTTCAATACAGGGTCCAAAGACCACAACTCAAGGAAGAGGAACATAGAGCATGGACAACCAAACTCACATCAGCCTAAAGACTGCACGTGCCAAGGATAACATGAGCCAAGCAATAAAATCCAAATCAATAATAAATGGAGGAGAGAGAGTGTGCAACAGGAGTAAGCAGAAACTGTCATTCCAACATAAGGATGGGAGTTGGCCGGGCTCAGGCCATCCGGCCAAAGACAGCGGGCAGGTCGGGCAGCGTCCAAATCAAAAGCAATGCAGCCTGTCCCAAACCCAATTTAAACCACGGGCTTTTGACAGGTCCCTGCAAAATTGAATGGCACTAGAGTAAAAAAAACTAATGTTGGATGTTGATGGCTGCTGCTGAGTACCAGGCTACAGCCTACTACTCTAGAGAATAAGTTTTGTTTTCCCTCTCTTTTTTTTCTTTCTTTCAAAAGAAATGGCATTCTTTGATGCTGACTAATTTGTCCAGCCACGTATCAAGACTGTGCAAAGACAGCAAGATCAGATGAGCACCGGAAACCCAAGACCCAAAAGTTACAAAGATCTCATCATGCTGGATTCATTTCCAATAACTGGGATGATACAAGTACACAATAATTGGTCAAAAAAAAACAGGATTGAGATGATATGAATCATTTAAATCAATGCAGAATCAGAAGAAGAAGAAGATTGATAGTGTGAAACAGGAACACCGGATGAGAGGGATCAGAATGATGGTGTAGTGAGTGCTATCACACGTGTCAGGGTGTACCTCCAAGTGGACCCATCATTGGATCACTAGATACATACCCACATACAAGCACACAAGTTTCCAAACAAGCAGACACTAGCAGACACCTGCACTACACACACAAAGACACACCCAACCCTTATAGTCTCACAACCCCCCTCACCAACGTCCCTCTGCTTCCGCAAAAAGACATAGAAACCTATGATTACTGATTATGTATGTATGAATCTATCTATCTATATGAGCAACACACATCATGTTTTGTTGTACGTAAGAACAGAAAGAGAGAGAGTGAAAGTCATTATGAAAGGAGGGGCCAACAACATAAGAACAATGGTGATCAGACAAGGGCTTGATCAAGTATATACTATATAATCATCATCATCATCATCATTTTTGTTATGTCAAATCATAACCCAACCCAACCCAAAAAAAAGAAATAGAGAGATGAAAGATCTGACTCAGTAATAATTATGAAATATTCAGGGTTGATAAAACCATAGATTATCTTTTTTTTTCAAAAGTCATTTTTTTTTTTTGGTAGATAAAAAAAGAATAAAAAAAAGGGGGAAACTTTAAGTGTGTGTAGAAAGAAAGAAAGAAAGAGAAAGGGAGGGAGGGGGGAACAAGAAAGACAAGAGACCAGGATCACGAATGGGATCATAAAAGCCACCAAAAAGAAGAAGAAGAAGAAGAAGAAAAAAGTTATTCAAGCCCCACGCCCGGACGGATTGCAACAAAAGCCCCAGCCCCAGAGAAAAAAAAAAAAAAAAAAGAGAGAGAGAGAGAGAGAGAGAGAAAGAAGCAAGGAAGATTTTAAATTTATTTTTTTGAAGACGAGAGCAAGATCAGGATGAAGTGTTCATTCATTGACCGCGAGCAGGTTCTGATCGCGTTTAGAAGAAGCCAAGCCCAACAGAGAAGGATTTGCACTGCTCATAGAACTCGAGATAACAGTAGTAGACATAGAAGACGAGAGGTTGCTGCTATTGTGAGTGGAGTGAGGGGTCGCGGTGAGAGCAGTAGTGGTGGTGGTAGGAGTGAAGCCGATGCGAGAAGCGGATCTGCTGGTTGATGGACTTTGCTGGATCTGAGGGGTCGGGGGGACCGAGCGATTATGAGTCATATGACTCTCCACCAAATCTAAATCACCATGACCACCACCATCAATACCCCTTGAAATCCAACAAAAAATAATAAGAATGGGAGAAGAAGAAGAAGAAGAAGAAGACGTACGACCAGCAGCAAGCGCGCTCATCAAGCTCAACTCTCCCGCCATCACCGCCGCACAGATGATCCGTGCCAACTGGCGGGCATTGTCGCCCGGGGCAGTCGGATGCGGCCCGCGGATCCCGAGCATCTCGAGCATCGCCGCTTGCGGACCTAGGATCGTCCCCCCGCCTATCGTCCCCACTTCGATCGACGGCATCGTACATGTGATTAACAAGTCTTGCTCATCATTCACCCTATCGAATCATATCACTGTGGTCAGCTTCTTTTTTTTTATCGACTTGGCGCTTGAATGTCTGTTCTACTCACGCTTCCATTAGGGTCATACAATTCGAACTTTCTACATTCTGGGCAGGGTCTTGTCCAGTTGCCAAATAAATAGCCTACACAACCAACCAAAACCCAATTCATCAGTTTTCAAAAAAAAAAAAAAACCATCATTGGAAAGAGAAAGACGTACGGTCAAGATATTACTAGCATGAGCATTATTACCACCGATCGAACCAGCCAAACAACTGCCGACCAAGTTCTTAGTGATATTCAATTTAACGATATCCTTGACGGAAGTCTTGAGGATTTTCTGGATGATTTGTCCGGGGACGACGGCCTCAGCGACGATGGATTTGCCTCTGCCTTCGATCCAATTGATAGCCGAGGGTTTCTTGTCGATGCAATAGTTACCGGAGAGACTAACGACCTTCATCTGAGGGAAATAGGCCTCAGATTTCATGAGTCTGAGCGCCGCTTCGGTGCCTTTAGAGATCATGTTCATGCCCATAGCGTCCCCGGTGCGAGTGCCGAAGCGGACGTAAAGTGTCCGGCCCGCAAGCGCGGTTTTGAGCGAGATTAAGCGGGCGAATCGGGAGGTAGAATCGAAGGCGGTTTTCAGTGCCACTCTTCCTTCCTCTGATTCGACCCACGCCTTCGCCTGTGCGGCCATGGTTAGGTCCGGGAACTCCAGCGCCGGGCCCCGCGTCATCGCATCCGCCGTCACCACCGTTGTCACCCCTCCGCCCGCATTCAACGCTTTGCATCCTCGCGAGGTCGACGCTACTAATGCCCCCTCCGTCGTCGCCATCGGCAACGGAAACGCGGTCCCATCGATCCGTAATGGACCAGCTATCCCTACAGGAATCGGCATGTAGCCGACCACATTCTCACAGCATTGTCCCATCACTAAGGAGTAGTCGTAATGTAAATACGGTAAGCCACTCGTCTCTAACGTCTTCGTCAACGATGCTCGTGCTGTGTAATGTAAACACTAATGTTAATTTCATGCCTTTTTTCACTCATAGAAAAGAACAACTCAACAGATCAACGCTCGTCTGATTCGTACCGCACGAGAGAAATCTTTAAGTAATTTTTCCAATGCATAAGCAGCGACTTTACCCTGTTGAACGAGCAGAATGATTTCCTCATCAGAGAGTTTAGAAGGGCCGCGACGCAGGGTATCGTTAAAGATATCAAGGATTTCATCGAGCGAGCGAGTGGGGAGAGGTTCCTGAATTTTATCTTCGGGTTCCTCGATCAGCAGAGGGCTATCGCAGACGTTAGATTCTGTATTAGTGGCGGTGGTCGAGCCGCTGACAGGTTCGCTACGAGAGCCGTCGGTGAGCGAGCTCTCCGTCTCGTCCGTCTTCGGTCGACCAAACTCGTCGATCAGCCGCAACGAGATCAACGGCTTGTCGTCTGCCGCCCCAAAGCCCTTGAGGGTCGGGGTGACCGAGCTCTGACAGGTGGGCTTGTTGTGATGGTCGGCCTTGCTCTTCGTTCCTCGAGCCTCTCGAATACTGAGCACTTCCCCTTCCGAGGAGACCTCTAACTTTGGTAGGGACGAGTCACTGATCAGTTCTCCACGGTCTGGTACAATCAGATCTGGCTTCTGTTTTCGGTCGGTAAACATGAGCCCACTGCTCCATCTACGTTGGTGCTGGGGTGGGTTCTTTCGGGCCCTGTGCTGAGAGCCGTCCTCGACGGCGAGCGAGCCGGCATTGGTCGAAGCGAGCATGATCCGGGCGGCACGTTCGGCCGGACTGAGTGCGTCGGTCTCGCTGGCGTTCTCGCTAGACTCTTCCTCGTCGCTGGTTGCAGATTTCAAACGGGCCCGCTCGATGGAGAGACGGTGATTGAACCTCCGAGTCTGATCGACGGTGCTGATGGCAATCCCCTTGAGGAGGTATGCGTTAAGGAGGACGCTGAGAGCAAGGACGATGACGATCCACTTGGACATCACCGGATCGCCGACGAACTCGGTCCAGGAAGACATCAGTTCGTCTAGGAAGACCAGGGATGATTTCCCAGGCTGTGATGATCCTTGTCTGAACCTCGAGTTCCGTGCGACTCGCATCTCGATCGGCTGACTGAGCTGGGCGATCCACTTCGATTGACTGTCATTCTGAGAGATTTCCTTGGATAGTTTATCGAGTGCGCGCGCATAGATCGGCGCACTCGGATCGATTTTGATCTGATCCATCACCAAGCTGGCCAAATCCGGCTGGAGGTCCGAGTTGACTGGGTTAGTAGCAACAAGCTTGGTGGCCTTGGTTCCTTGGGATAGATTGCCGGGATGGTTGAGTGAGAAGGTGGGCGGATGTGAAGAGTGACGGGTGATGGCGGTGCGAAGGGTGAGAGTGGTACAAAGGTTGAGGGTGTGCAGGCCAACAAACATGCTGAGCAGGGCCAGCTTGACTCGGCTACTTCCGATGATGATCTTCTCGGCAGACTGTTGAGTGGTAGAATCGCTCATGAAGGTCTTGATTAGCTTGGCTCTGATCGATTCTTGTTCGGCCATCTGTTCTTTGACCACCTCGACTGATGGTTCGACTCCATCATCCAAGAGCTTGGAGAGCTCGGTGGTCGAATCGTTTTTGGCAAGTTCCCGTACGACTTGAATCCGATGAATCTAGATGTGTGAGAGTCAGAGTTAGTGAGGCGGGGAAGGATGTGATCTGGGATGGAGAAAAACTTACCTCGACAAAGACTGTCAAGATGGAAATATAAAATCCGAAGGACAGTAAACAATCATAGAGAAGACTGAGGCCAGCCAGCTGACAGAATTCAGTGAGACCGTTGATACCGCTGATGGCGCCGAGACCGAGGACGGTGATTTCGATTGCGTAATCTCTGACGATCCGAACGCCGACCCTCGAGATACTCTCGACGACGATATCTCTTGCTGGTGGTACCGGTTCACGTTGTCGGAGAGAGGGTGGCCAGTTGGATCGGCTGAGGATCGCATGGGCTAGTACGTATGGCTTGTCAAATCCGACTGTGATTACCAGGAATGGTAAGGCTTCCGATAACAGGATCGGGTTAATTCGGATCCCTAGGACGTGGGCGGTGATCAGGGCGAGTATGAAGGCAAAGATTGCTGAGAGGACAGTCAGAGCACCTGTGGAAAATAACGAGAGTTTATTGAGTGATAGTTTCTTTTTTCTTTTTTGATAGAATGATGAGGAATGACTCACCTAGCCAGAATTTTGAGCCCAACTTGCCCATGTTTCTGAATAGGTTGTAGAAGGTAAGATGCATGAGCATGTAGGCGATGAGCATGATGAATATATCAGCAGAATCGGCCTTGGAGATGAGTTGCCAGAAGCGGATGACGAATGCGCGAGCAGCATAGGCAATCCAGCGGATCGACCTCATCTCTCCTAGACGTTCGTGGGCCTCCCTAGCAGCAGCGGTGGGGCCGGGAGAGAGGAGACGGATGTTGGGGGGTAGACTGCTGAGGAAGTTGTCGAGCCATCGTTGGTGTGTGGATTGAGGGATGGTGGGGTTGATGGGGAAGGCTAGGATGAGTGCGAGGGTGGGTTGATGGAGATTGATTGAGGTTGAGTCGATTTGGATGAAGCATGATCGGAGGTTGGATGGTAGTTCCTGCTGATGGTCCCCCTGAGTGGAGTTGGATTTGAAGCATAGGTTGGAGTATGAGATGGGTTGTTGTTCTTGTTGCTGTTCGATTGATTGGATGGTAGTAGTAGTTGAGAGTAGTTGGATCAGATGGTTTCCAGCCTGGTTTAGGATCTCCGATGAGAGTGATGGATGGTAGGATAGGCTGGAGGGGGAGAAGGCTAGGTTGAGGTTGAGTAGTCTGATGGAGGGAGTTGTTGCGGTGGTGGGTTGCCAGTTGTTGTTGTTGTTGATGTTGTGGATTACGTTGATCGAGTGAGTGGGTTGGAATGGGTAGGTGAATGAAGATCGATGAGAGATATCCAAGAATTCCGAGTGTTTGATCGCTTGGAGTAGTTGGAAGTAGGCTAGGGTGATGATGATCTGGATGGGGCAATGGTTGGTTAGTTCACTTTCTGCTGTTTGCAGTTTGCAGTTTGCTCTTTACTGTTATACTGACGAGAGTGGTGACGATGGTTTCGATTGGGTTGGTCGAGCAGAATGAAGAGTACAGGCTCAGTAGGTTGA